AGAAGCAACTGTAGAAATTTGAATTCTGAAGAGGAAAAGGGTTTTTAATAGATTATGTTAATCTTGAAATTATTAGATATAAATTAAGATTATTTGATAATAATAATGTGTAATAGAAAATTATAAATTGACAAAAATACAAACAAATGACAAAACTATAAAATTTTACATATTTGGATGAATTTTCAAAAAATCTCATTATTTTTATATTTTTATTTTTATATATTTTTTCGTTGGTTCGGTTGGGTTTTAAATCGCAATTAAAATTCTCAAATCCAAACCAGTTAAAAATCATTTCGTTGACGGGTCCACGTGGCACCAAACTGACGCTTTCTAAAATGCGATTTCAGTTCAATTTTCAGGTTTGGCATTTTTGCTTACATCCCTACTTTTGTACATATCATATTATGAATTACAGGGAGAAATGAAAGAAAATTATCGAAAATGCCAATGTAAAAATAATTGATAAAATAAACAGTGAATTTATACAAAATTGAACTTATTAGAGAAAGTAAATTTTAGGACTTGCACGACTCTTAACATAATAAATTTTGATAAGACTTATATAAATAGATAATTATTATGTGATCGATGCAATTACACACATATTTTTAGCCTGCGAATGCATAAAATTCTATGCGCGTCTAACTATTGTGGTTATAACCAACTCATTTGACGTGAATATTAAAACTATTTATATAAATTATTGAATGATCTAAAATAACTAAAGCATAAAGTTCAACTCGTATTATTACGAGGAGAGTAAATATACATTGCACATTTTTCCCTCTATCAATATTTTGTCTAATTGAATTTTATTGATAAGATTTTCAATGAGACAATTTTTTTAATGTATTTAAAGGAATAATGTACTCATTTTCTTTTACTAGTATTTTTTATACGGGATTTTTCATAGAGTAAGGTTTTAACTTTAATAATATACTCTTTTTGTAATGAGATTGTTCATATCCTACAAGACATATATCCTCAACACAATTGTATAATTTCACTCTCATATGTTATAAGTTATATACGAAATTCCCGATTTAAGCAACAACAAAATTTATTTTTTAATAAAACATGCTGATTAGAGTCAAACAAGGATATATGAATATATTATGTGAAGACAATACATTTTGTATTGTACAACTCAAAGAGATCATATCAAATGAGATATGACAAATCATATTTTTTTTAAAAATTCTTCTATACACATAAATTTAAAAAGACTGGTGATATCGATGTTCGTCAAATTCATTCAAGTTACAATGTGACGAACTTATTCACTAACGCGTTGTCAATATCTACATTCAAAAAATTGGTGCATGAGATATGAATGCATAGACTCAAACATACTCTTTAGATTGTGATATTTGCTTTCACGTGATTTAACTATCGACAAGGTGTAAATAAGTCATAGTCATCAACCGGATTGGTTGGAAATCTAACCCGGGAATGCAATTGACTCGATCAACCAGTAATTTTTATACTAAACTGTCGACCTAGTTGACTGATTTGATCAAATTTCAAAATTATCTTTAAAAATTTTAGGATAACATGAATGACATCAAACTATGGGAACCTACAATAGTTTATTTTTATTTTTGTGCAATGAAATTAATGTCTCTCACGAATCATTTATAGTTTTCTAAAAATATTTTTAAAAGAATTATATGCCAACATTTTACTTTATTTTATAGACTTATTATGTATGGAAATATTAATTTTAATTAAGATGAATTGAATATTTAACAAAAATATTAATTTTAAAATATATAAATAATTAAAAAAATAATTTAAAACTTTAGGGTGTGTTCGGTAGGGATTAAAATTGGATTCAAATTGAAAAATTAGTCGTTATTGTTGACTTTTGTTAGACGAGTGAGATCCAATAACGGATATATTTTTAATTTTAATCAGATTTTAATCGTTAACAAACGGCCTCTTAATTTTGTCTCAAAGAAAATAATTTATACTTAATTTTTTTTTAAAGCAACGATGCATCGATCCGATCACTAGTTCACCGGTACCACCACTAACTCAAAAATCTGGTATCTCAATCGATTCAACGTTTAGATCGAATCTAATATCTGTGATATAAAGTATAAACAATGAATAATGCGATAGCATCAGTGGTGTTAGAGTATAAGTCTGAAAGTCATAATGTGATAGAATCAATTAAAAGTTGAGTTATATAATTCATTTAATTTTACATATCATTTAATGTCACTTAGTTGCTACCTTGATAGGTGTTGCAACACCAGTGATGCTAAACCCTCATTTGGTACCAATTATTTCTAAAATACGTTTTTTTACTCTTTTATTTTCAACCACGCATTCTTCAATAAAATAATATTACACTCAAACAAAAAAAAAATGTCATATTTTTTAATCATGTATCCTCCATGAAACGACTATTCCAAAATACATTTTCAACAACAGAAAAAAAGCTCAAACATGCTCAAAACCGCATCACTCATAAACAAGAGTTGTGGCCGACCAAGGCAGGCCAACCAAGAAAAAAAACCACTTAGTTGTCGCCGGCCCAGTTGCACCTAACATCCCCATGTGGTTGTTGTAGTCCCCTTTGTGTTTGCTTCCTTTTCATTTATGAATCTCTTCTTTTTCTTGTTTAAATAATTTAAATATCTGTCTGTATATTCACCCCAAAAATATAAAATATCAAGGGGTTATAAGATTAGACCAAACACGAATCGATGTTAAAAAAATGATAATTCTGTGGGGAGTCAATTTAGGCTAGAATCATACCCAAATCCAATATAATTTTTTGTCTTTGCACATTGGAAACGATGAAATAATAATAATAATAATAACACCAATCCAAAATACTGATGCTCATCTTTTATTCTATTATATTCAAAGCAGTGTTCTAACGTCTAGTCGCAAAGTGTAGGCGAAATGTCTCATCTTGACAGCAAACGTGAGAGGGTTAAACCACTTGTGTGTACACCCTGATAACACCTCCTACGTGTCAAAAAACTAACAGTTAATTGGAAAATGTATTGTCAAAATCAATGTACAAAAATCTATCAACTCATATGAGTGTAAATCAATATATCAATCTTTATGATGTACATCGTACTAGGTTGCCAAAATTAGCCATCAATTGTCAGTTGATTGTTTAATGAGCGCCTAGACGCGCTTTATTAATTTTTTAATTTTTTTCTATTTTTAAAAACCTTTTATTTAATTTTAGTTTAAAATTTTTCTTTAAAAATTGTATAATTGACTAATTATAAGACTTATTAAGTAAATATAGTATTTTTATAATTTTAGATATTTGGTATGTTGTATTTTAATTATTAAATAACGTTTAGAAGATTAAAAAATTAAAATAATACTAAAAATAAGAAAATATTTTTCTACTCCTAAATCTCGCTTAGGCACATAAAACTTGAAATTTGACCATCACATTTAATAACGTTTCTCGCTTTTGAAAAATACTGACCTAAATAAAATGACAAAAATCCCTTGAAAAAATAAGCCCCTGTTTGCCCCCCATTAATTTAAATTTTTGGAGGGTAAATAATTTTTGGAATAGTGATTGATGGGAGATGTGTGGTTGAAAAGTTTTTGATTTGTGTGTATTATTATTTTATTTGATGAATGGATTGTTGAGATGAGGAGAGAGAAAAAATTAATGTAATAGAATGAAATATAATGGAGGGCAAACAAGGGCTAAAGGTGATTAAAGAATTGAAAATGGTCTTTCGACTCTTCCCAGGTTGTTCACTTGCCTCTCACTCGTTAGTTAAGTCTCAATATTATTCAGTGGTCCAACAAACCCCTAGTAAACATCTGTCAATCAAAACAAGCACCGTCAATTCAATTGTCATCTTGTCGTATGTGCTAAGATTTCACAACACTTACGAAAGATTGTTTTTATTTTAAAAACCTCTTGGCACATATTTATTTTAAAATTTTAACTCGAATAATGTTATCCATCCAAATCAACGCATAAAACATCTTTATTTTAAAAACCTTTCGATCTATACTTATTTTTATCTTTGTTGCCACACATAAATCAAGTACTTTGGATTGGTAAGTGGAGATATTTTCATTCCAACCTCGTCCTCGAATCCAGTCCCCAGAGTTACTTTGAATAAAATCAAAGTATAGTTACAAAAATATAAAATTAAAGTACAAAATCAAACCAAAATATAGTTATTTCGAATGACATTAACATTTTGTCTAATCAGTATTCAACAAATACATAGGATGGCCATCTTTGATTAACGATCATGTCATAACAGAGGTGGACATAATTACCTTCAATGAAATTAAATTAAATATTACTATAATTATTTACCTAATCAAAATCAAATTGTAATATACCACTATAATTATTTATCTAATCAAAATCAAATTGAAATTGAAATGCTACTATCCCTTTAAAAAACGTATTTACCTAGAAATCAAATTAATATACTTATAAAATGACCTTTTTTCCCCCCTTTAAAAGACGTGTAGAAATTCACAAGTCCCCATAATCATTAATACAACTGTACCCTATGCGTCTCCTTTTTAAGGTCAAGCATTAGGTACAACCACGCTGGTTAATGCTGTCCCAGATCTAACCACAAAAATTGATTGGTAAACGCGCAAAAGTACAATTACATCAAGCAGTCCAATGTTCATATACAATTTTCACCTGTGTTGGGATCTTCCACGTGCCTTCCATGTTGCAGGAAAATAATTCCCAGTTCACACTTCCTAGCTAAGCTAGCTCACTGATAAATACAAGAGAAATCTGCACATCAATCCATTGTATCTTTTTGTTCTCCGGATTCGAGAATTCTCTCCCTTTTGTTCTCTATCCCGAAAAATAATTAGAACTAATTCAATCACGTTTTACATCCTATCGTACATTGTGATAAACTCGATACATCTTGTTAAAAAAAAAAAATTCATCTTGAAGGAGTAGGGGCACTAGATTTTTTCGAGCATTCATCTTGTATTTTCATAACGAAATGGCAGCGATGGATCAAGAAACTACACGATGCACGACTCGTGCATGGCGCTGGTTTAAGGCCATACCTGAGAAATTTGTATCGAAAATAATGGATGCAGCCACTGAGGGAAAGAAACTTGGAGTTGAAGATCCAAGAAGGATTATTCACTCACTGAAAGTTGGATTGGCAATAAGTTTAGTTTCACTGTTCTATTACTTCGATCCTTTGTACGAAGGCTTTGGCGTGTCAGCAATGTGGGCTGTCATGACCGTGGTTGTCGTCTTCGAATTTTCCGTAGGTAAGTTCTTAATGCAAAATCCCATAAAAGTTTTAAACTTTCAGACAAACTAACTGATTAATTTACAGGGGCTACTCTCGGACGAGGCATAAATCGAGGGATTGCAACATTGTTAGCTGGCTCACTAGGTGTTGGAGCACATCGGTTAGCAAGTTTTCCTGGGGAGAAAATAGAGCCGATACTACTTGGATTATCCGTTTTTTTAGTAGGTAAAATGAACTACTAAAAACAATGTTTTGTTTATTTTGTCGATACCATCAAGATTTTATATTTTTACATCGTCAAAATAATTACTTTTTCAAATGATAATTATGCAGCTGCTGCAGTAACATTCATTCGATTTTATCCCAAATTGAAGGCAAGATATGATTATGGACTTGTCATATTTATCTTGACGTTCTGCTTAATATCTGTCTCCGGGTATCGAGACGACGAGGTTTTGGAAATGGCATATAAGAGGTTGTCCACGATACTCATAGGTGGCGCTGCTGCTTTGATAGTTTGCGTTTTGATATGCCCCATATGGGCTGGTGAAGATCTTCATAATCGAGTTGCTGGCAACATTGAAAATTTGGGAACTTTCCTTGAAGGTACATTCTCTGCCATCTTTTCTTTGGATGGGATGGCCCATGACACGACACTCGGCTTGGACGGGCCATTTTTGGGTGCTGACATGGCCGAGTTGAGCCTTTAGAAGGTCGTGCTGGACTTCCATCCAGATAAAGCTCAACTAAATTTACATATCTAGGCTTTAAGCATAGTAAATTTCTTTTGGAGTCTCAGACCTATAATCTTGTATCCCACTTAATTCTCAGGTTTCGGATGTGTATACTTCCAAACATTAGATGACAAACTCCAAGATCAGAAAGCATCTCTGGATGGCTATAAAAGTGTTCTTAATTCCAAAAGCACTGAAGAATCCTTGGTGAGTTATAAATAAAAAACTTTCATCACTGTTTGCACAGTTTCAATTTTAACATTCATTTCTTATCTAATCATTTAAATATTTTTTTCATGCAGGCGAACTTCGCAAAGTGGGAGCCTCGACACGGCCGATTCCGATACCGGCACCCTTGGGATCAATACCTGAAAATTGGGATGCTTGTGCGAGAATGTGCTTATCGCGTTGATGCTTTGAATGGCCATCTTAACTCGGAGATGAAGGTAAATACATGGCATATACTATAATACTACAATTTTTTATATTATTCTCGATATATTGGGAGTCGGTTACATAAATATATCTTTTCACTCAAGAAAATTAACCCGAAAATATAATTTGTGCTATTGCTGCAGACACCACCAGAAGTCAGAGCCAAAATTCAAGAATTATGCACAAAGATGAGTTCTGAATCCAGTCTTGCTTTGAAAGAACTATCACTAGCAATCAAGACAATGAGTTCTTCATCCATTGCTGATCCTCATATTGTCAATGCAAAAACTGCAGCCAAGAAACTTAAATCCTTGCTCAAAACAGGCCTGTGGGAGGACACAAATTTTCTTGATATAATTCCTGCTGCTGCAGTTTCTTCTTTACTCATAGAAATTGTCTCCTGCACTGTGAAAATTGCTGATTCTGTTCATGAACTTGCTTCCAAGGCAAAGTTCAACAATGATGTTTTGAAGCAAAAAGAAAAGGGAAAAGTATTGAGAGTCCCAAGTATTGAAGGATCCCACAACATTGCTATAAATTCTGAGTGATTACAAGTTGGAGTCGATCATGTTCGACTGTGTTTTAAAGTAGCTTAAAATTTACATTTTTTTTTTCTTTTGAAGTAGGTAGACATGAATAAAGCTGGTTTGCCAGAAAGATTTTTCCCACCTGGGTGACTTAACCTCACATGGGGTGTGGGACCGAGGTGACATGAAAAATAAAAAAAATGCTTCCCTCCCCCCCAATGTGTGTGGTCTGCCAGGAAGGGTAGCGATCCATTTCAGTTGGGATGTTAAGAGCGAGTAGGTTCTATTCGCTATGACTAAAATTTGTTCCATATTAATCTCATTTATGGTTATAATGGGAACTTAAAACACTTTTCCTCTTGAATCATGTTACATGTACCGAATATTTTATCAACTACACACAATGTGGACCACATTGTGAGAGTTTTTAAATACGACGGACCCCGCGCATTATGTGAGAGGGTGTAATTCATTATGTACAAATGGATTAACCATTTCCTCTTTCACAAGCTGAATGGAAATCTTGAGCCGAAACCTAATTCTTTTATTTTCTTTGCTTCTATTATTGTTTTTATTTCCTGCGTTCTTTAATTGATTAGTGGTTTTTTGGATTCTTAATAATATTTTAGGGTTTTCTATTTTAACATTTAGAATAATGTTATTCATCCTCAATGGGGTTATAAATACAGTTTGAGTGGCTCTAAATGATATGTTAAATGAAATGTGAAATTAAATGACTTATTTAATTTCACATATCGTTTAATGCCACATTAACGGCATCTAGACTATGTTTGTAACCCCAATGGGGATGAATATGTTAGATATTTTTCATCATTTTGCATGTATTATCTTTTGTTTCTTCCAAATGTTTTGCCGCTCCGACTAGTGTTTGCCGCTATGCAACGGGGATCGACCTGACCGGGGGTTGAGGGGGCAGCGCCCCTAGTGGGGGCTCGGGGGCAACGCCCCCGAAAGAGAATTTTATTTTCAGAAGTTTTTGAATATGTATGTTTCTTCCAACAGATGCGTCCATTCATTTCAAGGGACACACATATTCAAAAGGTTGCCTCCATTTCTATATATTCTGGGCGAATTCTCATTTGCGAGATACTTTTAAAAAAAAATTTCTATTCTACTATCCTTCTCTTGGCATCATCAGTTTCTCTATAGAGTGTTTCTTGGTTTGATCGAATAGTCACAATTTGAATCAAACGCCTCCATTGTATCCTGAGAGAGATTTTCTATCATACCCCGGTCGTGACTTTGTTGGAAAGGGGAGAAACATCTCTTAAAAGATAACGATTTTCGTGCCTTGGAGTTATTTATTATTCCAGATTTCCTACATATTTCCCAACAGAATAACAGTACTCTAACATTTATGGGTTGCTGATTGACTTACAAACTTTCACGTATTCACAAGTTTTTGGCGTGCATTTAATCATCTTGCACTTTCGTTACATGAATAAAAAGGAAGACTGATTAAATTCAAAAGAAGGGTATTAATAGTAGAGGTCTGGCCTTGTACTGGTAACTGTTTCTTGAGTTACTCATGGATAAAAAATAAAAGGGGTGAGGTACACTACAAGAAAATTAAATTTTTGCTCTTGTTTTTTCGTGGCGATTATGGTATTCAATTATGTTTCAACATCGCGTATTAAACACGTATTTAATATCTTAAAAGTGAACAAAATGTCGCTTATAATTAGAGACGTAAATGGTATTAGGCCGTTCAATCCACAAGCTCCATATGCTTGAAAATTATGAGTAATTGCCCGATGGAATTGCTTGTGCAGCCGTTACTTTCGTTCAACTCGGTACGTAAAAAAACAAGCTACATATGCTTGAAAATTATGAGTAATTGACCGATGGAATTGCTTGTGCAGCCGTTAATTTCGTTCAACTCGGTACGTAAAAAACATGACTAACCCTGAATTACTAAACGTTAACAATATGACCTCTGTTCTTCTCTATTCAATTAGATATATACTCAATCTAGACAATGCTATCCTAGTTCACTTGTCCCAATAAGTCAAGTTAGGCTAACATCATGCACTTTAACAGAAATTTACACGCGCTATCATAACTTCATTTTACGCTTAGGCCCTGTTTGATTGGCTCCCAATTCCTTGGAAAATGGAAAAACATTTCAAATTCCTTGCAAAAGTCATGTTTGATAGCATTAATTTGGCATAGATATTATTTTCCAAAAGTGGCCTCACGTGACTTTCATAACAATTGTAAAAAAACATTTCATTTTAATAGACAAATTTCATGTAAAACAAAGTCAAACGAATACTAAACTTTGATTAAAAAATGATTTTGTAGAGATTTTTTTTTTTTTTTTTTTACTTTTTGGAAATGGAAATAAATTTTATAACCAATTGTGGAAAAAATTATTATTTTAATGGACAATTTTCATGTAAAAAAAAGTCAAACGAACACAAAATTTTAAAATTTTTCGGGTGAAAAATTATACTAATCAAACATATTTAATTAACAATTCCCTGAAAAACAATTTTTAGACAATTACTTTCCCTGAAATTCATTTTCTTTCCACCAATTTTTCACCATTGCAATCAAACGGACCCTTAGTAAACCTTGGTCAATTCAACAATAGCAAGCACCATAGATTGACATGTTGTCTTACACGCACATAGATTTTAGCCGCAGTTCGAAAGATTTTAAAGACAACACCCAATTTTGCACTGGCTATCCTTGGTCCGCACACCTAAAGACCACATTATGCACTGGCTATCATTGGTCCCGCACGTACATGTGTCTAGAACATATTTAGCCGTCAGGGCAAGAGGACGGGCGCCCGGGCAAACTAATAATGCCCACTCGGAGAAAACCCAACGTGGGGTTCTCACATTTGGAGAGAACCCCACGTAGGATTCTCCTGCCACATCAGCAGGTGGGCAGGATAAGCTTGCCCGCCGCGGGCAGGAGAACATTTTCGGTATAAATCGGTTGTGTCACCAACACCCAATTTTGCACTGGCTATCCTTGGTCCCGCACACCTAATATTATTTAAACCTAACAATGTCCATGTAGGTCTACGAGATTGTAGCTCTCTATAATCGAGCTTGGCACAGCCCACTTGAATGGGTTTGCCGATTGATCGTCACTTGTTAGATCGTGTTTTTCTTGTGAGAGGACATCTGTACAACTCAACACATTTTGACACCTCTAATGTGATTCATTTCATGTCAATAAGAATTACAACTGTTCACTACACTTGTTTCTTTACTTTTTGTCCTTTTTTAAGGTCAAAAATTAGGTATCACAATCATTTAGTCGGTTCCAAAATACACCACAAAACTGAAATTGGGAAACGCGTGCAAGTACAACTGTCTCCAGTAGATGAATTGGATGAATAATTAAAATCCACGTACCAGGTTCCACTTCCAGCTAAGGTTTTTCACTTGTAAATACAGATATATCTTCTACAAAAAATTTATCATGCCATTTCTTTTCACATTGAGAATTGATTCAGGGTTAAGTTGGGGTCTTTGAGGGACTAGGATTACTGGATTTCTTTACTCGTATATTTTCAAAACAGATATGGCGTCGATCAATCAAGAAATTGCACGAGTCTCGATGTTCGTGTGAAATCCGCAAGCGTACGGGATTGTTGACAAATAATAAAATTGATGAGTTAAGAGTATCGTCTCACGGGGAATAAATTCAATTCAAGTTTACTAGATTTTTGTGGAAATCGAATTATGTAAACAAAAGAAATTTTGATTTCGTAATTATTCTAAATTAATTTAAGAAAACTATAAAAATGTGGTTTTTATCTATAAATGGATGATTGTATTGGATCTCAAATCCTCATATTGCTATCTATTTCAATTCTTAATTCGTAATTTAGTTTCGTTCATGCGTTTTTGACAATCAATAAAACAATGATATATAATTTTATTTTCCAATACAAATTAAATTTATCGTAAACACGACTCAAATCTATTCATAGCCCGAATTCGAATTATTAGAATGCATTAAAGTTTAGATTATCTATATGATTACACATGTGATAAATGTTATTCCTAACATCTATTGCACTTATGTTAATTTTGTCGCATTATAAACTTATTGTGAGTTACCCAACACTACAATAAGCAACTAATTATCTAGTTGGTGGTTAATCAATTGAATAATGCAATAGGTATGTAAAATTAATCAAGTAACACGGGAATTATACTAAACTACTAGTTTTGAATTAAAACAAAGAACAAATATGGTTAATCTTCAGTCAATATAAAAGGATCCAGCCTAGCATATTAATATATAAATTGCAAAAATAATAATCAAAAAATATCACTCGGATCATGATAGAATGCAAAATATGATGATCTTCGATTCCAATGTTGAATTCTTTAAAATTTTGATGTAATTGACCTTCAATTCGTTGCTAGGGTTTGATCTCATATCTCAAAATATAGTAATTGACATCTGTTCTTGATGAATTTAATGTTACTATTATGTATGAAGAGGCAAGAGAGGATTTTTTTTTTTAATGTGTAGCCCTCGTTCTCTATTTATAAGAGCCAGAAAACATGTCAAAATCGCGTCCAATTTGGCTTCCAAAGAGTTTGAATTGCGAAATGAAACTACTGATTCATCTGTGAAAATGGCCCCTGCGCACATGTATGACTAATGTGCACGCGCAGTAAATCCAAATGACTCTCTGGTTGGGGAAAATAGGGTACCCCAGGCGCGCCATGAATTGCCCCCATGCGCTCACAGGTTCACTTCGGTTGGTCTATAAGCAACTTTCAGTATTTTGACCATAACTTTCTCTATAAAAATTTGAGTGAGGGGATTCAAAATGCGCTGGAAAGATTATTCAAAGACATACAATTTTTCTATAAATACAATTTTTCCAATTTAAACATTTGCTGTACGAAAATTGTATCTTAATTTGAGGCTCAGAATTCGGAGTACAACTTTGTCGATTGAAAATTGATTTGTGAAAATACTTCCACTGTATTTCACTCATTTGACCTCCAATTGCATCCAATTGATCCTATGTGATATTCAATCGTCGTTTTGTGGTCCAAATCAACTATTGAACGTTTACACTTTGATCCCCAAACTTTGAATTTCTTTTATTTTCGCACGTTTTTGGTTTATTTCTTCTAAATCCACCAATTTACATTGAATTTAACCTAACAAACATAATTAACACAAAATTAAGCTATAACTCATATAAATCACTAAAAAATACTCTAATTTAATGGTATAGATAAGAGTACAAAATACACTTATCACTCGACGTGTGCATGGTTTAAGTACACAGTGAAGAAACTTGTGTTGAAGATAATGGATGCAGCCAGTGAGGGAAAGAAACTTGGTATTGAAGATCAAAGACGAATTATTCACTCACTGAAAGTCGGATTGGCCACAACTTTAGCTTCACTCTTCTATTACTTTAATCCTATGTACCAAGGTTTTGGCGTTAATGCAATGTGGGCAGTTATCACTGTTGTTGTCGTCTTCGAATTTTCTGTAAGTAATGTGACATATTTGCCTATAAATTTTGTAACAATTTAAACTTATAGACTAATAGCAAAATAGTTCTCTTGTCAAGTGTGCAAGATAAGACTTTCTATTGTAGTCAATAAAACATTTTTGATACTAACGGATTGACTTTTTCCAGGAGCGACGCTTGGATGAGGCTCACCAGGCGTTGGAGCACATCGGTTAGCAAGTTTTACTGGGGAGAGATTAGAGCCCATGTTACTTGGATTATCTGTTTTCTTTGTAGGCAAGTATATATATTCATTATAATGCATCTTAGATTATTTTTGAGTGTTATAATTTTCTTAACATGGTAACCAAATTAATTACTGTTTCAAATCTTAATTGCACAGCTTCTGCAGCAACATTTGTTCGATTTTATCCCAAACTTAAGACAAGTTATGATTATGGATTTCTCGTATTCATCTTGACACTTTGCTTAATATGTGTCTCCGGGTACCGGGATGATGAGGTTTTAGAAGTATGTCTCGGGTTCATCTCGACACTTTGCTTAATATGTGGCTCCTGGGACCGGGATGATGAGGTGTTAGACATGACACATAAGAGGTTGTCCACAATCCTCATCAGTGGCGGTCTGCATTGTCATATGCCCAGTATGGGCCGGTGAAGATCTTCATAATTCAGTTGCCAACAATATCGAGAATCTTGGAGTCTCCCTCGAAGGTGCATTTTGCCATATGACATATACGAGACATACTACTGGTCAACACTGTACATGACAGCAATTTTCACACCTTACGAGACAAAATATTGTTTCTATTTTTTGTCATTTCTATGTTCTTTGATCATGTGAGTTCAACATAGGGTTGTAATGTTGGTTTGTCCCAACTCCCAAAGTCTCACTAGGCATTGAAGCTTGACCAATTTTACACTTCTAGTTAACTTTGTTCACGTCTTCGAATATAACCAATAAATATTGTCTCCAATAAACTTGTCAGGTTTTGGACATGATTGTTTCCAAACAACAAATGACAATCCCCAAGCTGCCAAAGCATCTCTGGACAAATATAAAAGTATTCTTAATTCTAAAAGCACCGAAGAATCTTTGGCGAGTTATAAAACTTAAATATGCAGCCAAAAAACTTAAATCTTTGCTCAAAACGAACCTATGGGACTTGGAAGACACAGATTATCTTGATGAAATAATTTCTGCTGCTGCAGTTTCTTCTTTACTAATAGAAATTGTCTCGTGCATTGTGAAGATTGCTGATTCTGTTCATGAACTCGCTTCCGTGGAAAAGTTCCAACAATGATGTTTTTGAAGCAGAAAGAAACTGTGAAAGTAATGAGAGTCCACAGTATAGAAGGATCCCACAATATTGCTATGACGGTAGAGTGATTAATAGTTGGACCGGGCAAGAACGTTTGACTCTGCTTAAACATAGTTTAAAATATAATTTATTTTCAAAATATGTAAAGACATGGATGCATCATGCATGGTTTGTAGCGATTCATTTGACGCACAAATCTCGGTAAAATATCTTCAAAACTAAACTAATTTTGATGGAATAGAACCGAACTTTTTTTGGTAGCTAGCAAAGTAAAAGTTACTTGACATAAGAGAAATGGGTCCAACCCAAAATGTTTCACGTTAAAGCAAAAACAATGAGGCCATCAGCCTGGGCCCAAACCAATTCTCCTTGGTTAAAAGAAGCCGAAAACCAACGGTTGAGGCTCATTTCATCCATAATTGGACACAGAGTTGCGTCTCCTCTCTGTTCATCCGATCCTCTATAAAGTATAATTCCACTATTGGTCCCCAATCTACTGCTCGAGTATCACTTTCGTCATTAACTTCTAAAAATCAAGAATTCAGTCCTCTACAATCAGTTCTGTGACAAAAACCGTTAAAATATGTTAAATTTTCATATGAACTTCGTGTGTCAAACTTTATAAAACTATTTTCCATTCCTCAACTTGGACTCATATCTAAAAATTTGAGAAGTAATAAGCAAAATAGGAGATGTTCTGAATTTCAAAGTGAAATATGAAGTCTTTATTGGTCTTGCTATAGAATCATATATAGTACAAAAATCCTAAATGAGCAGACAAGGAAACTCTGCAGCTCTTCCCAAACTAATGTTGATCTAATTTGTTGTCTCCTACGGTCTCTAATCTCCTACCAGCTAGTTAACAACATATATAAACATCCGGTGCATAGCAAATAGTTTGAAGAAACAATTCCAGACCTGCAAGGGATAGATTGCTTAATACTTCACGAAATGGCAGGATCAGGATGATGTTATATTATTCTTCCTCATCATAATCTTCTTCTTCCTCATCTATCCTCCTATTGATATTGGCAAGTTGAACAGGATCAATGGCCATCCCTTCCACACTATCAAGGGACCAACCGTGAATTTCTTCATGCTTCATTTCAAGAGCTGGATTTGTCACTGAGTTAGAAGGGCCTCCAGCCAGTACTGGCGTGGAATTCCCATTCTCATTTAAGTCCACATTGAGTTCAAAATTTCTGACTGTCATATCTGCATTCTTCCCACCCTTACTGCTAGTATCTGCAGGACCTGCAAAATTGTCCGGATTTTCATTTTGGGAAGAAACATCGGGATCTTCTTCAAATTTCTCATACTGAGCACTTGATTCTCTCTCTAGAGTGCCCCNTAATAAGTTCTCAAAGAAACTACTTAATATCAATCTCTGGAAATGTGTTTTCTGTATTATGTGGCACATGGGACAATTCGTTTCTGACATTGTATTGGACACTATTTTGGTTCTTTATAAAAATATAAAAAATATCAGGCATCTTTTCAAGATTTAGAACTCACGTTCTTTAGTAAATGTTTTTGAAAATGTGGTCAAGAATCAAATTCTATATTTCCTGACTGTGTGAATCCATATAGTTGGAAAAGACAGACAAGACATGGAATGAAAATACTTCTAAACAGGTTGCATAAAAACGACAGCGTGAAGTGGAATTAATAGTATCTTCGAAATTTATTGATGTTCAAATGGATCTAAGGCCAGAACTGAAAAATTAATAAGCCAACTGAGAAACGATATCTTTACGAGTTATCATGGTACAACAGAACT